GTAAAACCGAGGCTGATCATTCCTGGCAGTGAGCCAAGTGGCCTGCATGCTTACTCTCATCTAACCCAGGAATAAGTGAAACATTAGAAATTGAGGTAGCCAACATATTCAAGATATTTGAGCCTAGATGAGGAACTCTGTAGGTAGCTGACATTGGCACTGGGGGCCCTGAACTACCCAGAGCCTGTTCGCTTCCACAGTGTCTTGACGACTGGGTGCCTGACTGTGAGCTCCTGGCAGGTTAAGTGTATGTTGGACCTGGTCCTTCCCTTACCCCCATACCCTGAATACCCATATAATTTGGGCTCAAATAATCTGGGATCTTACATTCCCCAGAAGCTGAGTTAGCCAACCTCTTGTTTGCAAAGTAAGTGTAATACAGGACCCTTAGGAAAACAGAAAATTTTCAGTTTTTAGTATTAACTTTAACCAGGGTATCACGACATATGTGCACCTAACCACTCCACCCTGAGTTAGTGTACAGCCAAAGTTCATCCGTCCTTCCTGGTTAATATTTACCTTTTAATTACTACCCTGATTGACAGGCACAGTGTCAGGAAGGGCTCCACAGTCAGCTGTGTCTCTGTCTTTGAAACAGCACAGCTCCTCTCACGCATTCTATATTGCATGGTCCTCGTGCAACAGAACCACCTCCCCATGTATCTCTGCTCTGTGGGAACCTCAGAAGAAATCTGTCCTCCCACCTTCCCTCTGGAAGAGACTAACTCTCCTCACTCATTTGTCAGGTGGTTTGACTCCCCAGGGTTAGTGAGGGACCATGGTGTCCTTGTCTTTGCTGCTGCCATCCAATTTTTTGCCCAAAAAATGTCAAATTAATAACAACCAGAGTATGTTTACATAGTACTTAAACCACTTAAAGTTATTCCCTACAGGTGGCCCGATTAATTCCTTCACACTTTTCTTAAATCTGTGGTTTTTCTTTTTGATGATCTATGTAAATTCCTATTTCATGGGATTCCTCAGTTGTATGGCCAGAAAGATTTATTTTCTCATTTTTTCCATTTCCTTTTGTGATTGGAAAATATTAGGTAAAATATCATTCTTATGAGTCCAATTTTTAAAAAAACAAAGGCAGAAATCAGGTCAACGAGAGACCATGGTATAGAAAGGTGGACCAGTCTGGTGCCTTGAATCCTTCTGTACCAGCCAGTTGTCTGAATCATTCTGATCCAACAGATCAAAGAATCCAGAAATTGCCCTTTCATCACAGATGGTTCCTGGGAAATGCCCAGACAAGTTTGCTCTTGTATGTTTTGGAAAAACTGGTGCTTCCCAAAACGGTCACAATGTTTTTGATGTACATATGAGGCTGATTTAGGTCCAGGACTTGGAGTTCTCAGAAAAATAAACAGTTGACTGGAGCCGCCACTCAAGTACATTTTATCAACTAATAAATGGCCCCGTTCTTGTCAAGCCCAGAATGGGCAATTTGACTTTTATAACGAGCTTACGGGTCTCTTCCTTTTGTATGCTTTGCCTCTTTAAGTAGCCATAAAATATCCCTTAAGATCTCATTCCTCTAGTCAGAGTCCCGGCGGCTGTGCGCTCTGTCATGACAACCAGAGATGCCGCTGTCACTCGATACTGCGTTGCTGGCACAATTTTCCCCCTTCCAGCTCAATTATGTGTTGAATTTTCTCAAATAGGATGTTTAATGATTCTTCTAACAGCATCTGGGTCTCCCTTTCTCTGCTGCTTTTTGCTGGTGCACTCAGCTCACAGGTTTTGAGTGAAGGTGTAAATTTTGTCCTCCCAGCAGGCAGAAGAGCAGCACTAAACTTTCCTCCCACCCTGAAATGCTGGTGAACTACCCCACTGTCTGTGAAAGCAAGGGGCTAACAAGCAGGCCAAGTGTAAGGGCAGAACATGGGAACATAACAGCCATGTTGTGGCCTTAGAAAAGGGGTCAGCGTCTTGTCTGTTGGTTCCTCTGCTCCCTGCAGCTGCAGGTTTGGAGTGTGTGCTCTTACTGAGAGTGGTATCTTACCAACTTGAGACCTCATGCTGTTAGATTTTCCTCCTTAATACCAAAAGGTAGAAATAAAAAGCTCTGAAAGTTGTCTTATTTTTAAGGTACATTTTGGGATTAGGTTAACTTTGGCTGCAAGTAGCAGAGATCCAAAATAACAGCAGCTTAAACAACATAGAAGTTTATTTGTCCCTCATTCAATAACAATGATACTAGTAACATTTACATAATGCTTATTTCATGCCAAGCACTATTAACATTTTTGATATATTAGCTTATTTCTTCCTTACAATATCCTGTGGCACTGGTACTGATATTATCACTTGAACAGATGAGGGATTGAGGCAAGAAGGTAAAATCATTTGCCCAAAGCTAATGAGTGATAGATCAGGATTTGAGCTGTGCAGTCTGATTCTAGAATTTATGCTCTTAACCACATGTTTTGTCTGACAAAAAAAAAAAAAAACACACAGTCGCTGGGGTGGATGTGACAGCTGTGCCCCTCCCAGCTTTTTCTTCTTGTTACTCTGCTATATGTGGTTCCTGCTCCTAGCCACGTTTCCACTTTGTAGAATGCCCAAGTTGGAAAAGACCCTTCAAAGTATGATGTGGCTCTGGATCTTCATTTGGGAAATGTGTATGAGAAGTGGGGGTAGTTTTTGTCCCGAACCTTCCTTTTGGGCTCCACTTTTTTATTACAGCCCTGTTCTCATGAGGAGGGGCTAGGACAGTTAGTGTGAACAGCCATGCTCATGAAAAAGACAATGCTTCCCTTCCCTCACGCATGCTGAGTCTGCATCTGGAAAGTGGTCTGCCTGCACTGTGGCCCAGAGTAGTTCTCCTTCAGGGTTGAAGGGGGCATTCCTTGGGGCATTGCTGTGGAAAATGGTTCTCTGTCCTGGGGAGACAGATCCATTAAGTGGTAGAGGTACATATGCACTGGTGAGCTAGAGGACCTTAGTGGTATAATACGAAGCCTACAGAAAAGGAAGATTCAGAGCCAGCCCTTAGAGCCCAGTGTGATTTAACTAAATGAATAATATTTATATTCATTATCCACATAATGGGTATCTCCACAAAACTCACCACATAATAAGTATTTAAGTTAGGAAAAAAGGAAGGATGTTATTTCTCGGGAAAGTTTTTTAAATTGTGCTTCTCAAATAGACCTTTATATTTTATTTGGAGTCTTAGTTTCCACAGGCTTAGTGGTGTTTTACAACACTTTTCCGGTGATAAAATGCAGGTGTAGTCAATGATTGCCTTTTTTTCTAAAATAATATGCATTTTTTTTATTTCTGACTATAAAAATTATGCTTATTGTAGAAATTTTGAAAAGTCTAGTAAAGCTTAAAGAAAATAAAATTCCTCAATTCCTGGAACTACTGGGAGGAATAAGCACTGTAAACCTTATGATATATTTTGTCTTTCCTTCATGCTTATATAAACACATAAATATTGTATGTACAGTAGTTGAAAGTCTACCATCAATAATTTTGCACCTCATTCTTTTCCCTTAAAACATGCTTTCCCATGTCATTATAAATTCCTGATAAACTTCATCTGAAATAAACTGTATTGCACCTACTGTGTGCTGGGCACCAGTTAGCACTTTACATGCACTAACTGTGGCTATCCTTTGAGTTGGACTTTTAGATTATTCCCAGCATCATAGATCTCTTGCCAAAGCACCCTCAAAAGGGTTGATGTTTGTGTTTTGTTTTTTGGATTTTTTTTTTTTACCGCTCTTAATGTTCATTAAAAACATTGTTTATACAGGATAAGAATCTGAGAGTTGCTACATGTTGTCCCAAGGATTTTCGGTTGTAAGTTTTTGTAATAATTCTCATAAATGAAAGGGCTGGAGTCAGAATACATTTTGTAAGATGCCTATGTCCCTGCAGCACTAGGGACTGCAGAGAACATGCTGTTTGCAAAACAGGCTTGTGGGTCTGAGTTAAAAACTGCCTTTGGTGCAGAACTGGGGGCCCTGGGCATTTCCACTTGTGGCCTCAGATGGTCATACAGGAACCCAAGGGTGAGGTGGTCTGTTTTACTAGGCAGATAACTTTCTTACTACTTACACCTCTCTGGCAGGAAGGAATCATCACATGACATGTTCCTTCTTGAGGTTTCTAGAGAGCTTCTTAACTTCTCTCCACTTGGATCTCAGAGCAGACAGCTTCTGACTCCTATTGCTCAGTGCAGGGTTTCCATCAGAGGCTAACAGATGGTCCTTTTAAAGAGGCTTCATGGCTGGGGAAATGCCGGAGAAGCAAGGTTAGGCAGATCTACATAATAGAAGTCTCTAATTTTAAACTTCAAATCCTTCTGTATGCTGTGATCTTTGTGAAGTTTCACGATGGGGATAGATAATACAGCATTTCTCCACTGTATTTGTCCATGGAGTCTCTTTTTCCTTATGCATTCGAATGGATGGGAGTTTTGCAAAGCCCATCTTGGGAATTCCCCACTGGGTGAAATTCAATTCTAGTAACTCCCATGGGCTTCAATTCTGAATGGTGAGGCCATGAGTCTACCTGGTCAGAATTTGGGGATTCTATCTTAAAAGTGAACCGTGGAGGCTCACTGATCCCTGCTGTTCTCACTACATATGAATGTGAGTGTGCTAGACAGCTCACTAAATTTCTGAAATCAAAGAATTTATCCAGGCTGTCTCCAGGGGGCTGGTTATAGCTCACTGAACATAAAGCCTGAAGTATCTTTTTCTAAAACTGAATGAACAAATCAGAGGAAGAGTATGATATGTCGGACCCAGTGGAATTGGTGTGAGAAATGTCCTGTTCAGCATTGTAATGAGATCTTTAAGAACTTTCCTGGGACAAGTTGCCCGCCTGACAAGGGAGGAGGAGGGCAGCCCTGTTCCTTGGCATCAGGTCAGCCTGGCCCTCCACTGGCTTTAAAGATCCATTGGAGATACTAGACTCTATCTTTCTCTCTCCATTTTTCAGAGAAGACCTCTGGACTTTCTTCACCTTTTGTTTTACAGAAGAGGATGTGGAGAACTTTGACGTGACCAACTTGTCTCAAGACATGCTGCGAAGCATTGAAGCCGACAGCTTTTGGTGCATGAGCAAGCTGCTGGACGGGATCCAGGTAAGCGGGTCTGCCCTCGCCACATGCCGTGTCCAGGAGCTCCCCTCGGGGCTTTGTGCTCCTCATTGCCCATCTGCATCAAACAGGCCTCCCACCTATCTTGGCTCCTCCTCTGTTTCACTTTTACCTCTTTCCTTAGCTTTATAGCCTTCGAAAGGTAATGGTCTAGTGTCCCCTGGAGTCTGAGGATATTCCACGTTATCCTGACTTTGGGGTCCACCTGTGCCCCTCTTTCTTGCTGGGCACACCGAACCATGCGGTTTGCCTCTATAGTACAAGGCTCTGTCAGGCTTTCCACACACACTGCTGTTCTGCAGATTCCCTTGTTCCCTAGAATGCTTGCACTGTCTTTGCAAAAATAGTTTGTGCCTTTAAACATGTTGGAAGGGCCTCCCTGGTGGCGCAGCGGTTGAGCGCTGGGTTGCGAAGCTGCCCGCGGCCTCTGCGGCGCCGGTTCGATCCCCAGCTGCTCCCCGGCCACCGGAGGAGGGTCCCACATGGCGCGCAGACCTCTCCTGCCGCCCGCTGCTCCCCTCAGCAGTGTACTTCGGTCCTTCTGCCTGCTCTGCTCCCCGCTCTGGCTCTGGTGAATTCTCTCACCCTCCTGCGCTTCTGACTCTACCCAGTGCATGTACAAACAAACAAACAAATAAATAAATAAAAATACATGCCTCTTTAAAAAAAAAATAAAATAAAATAAACATGTTGGAAGAAGGGGGTGGCCCAATGGCTTGGAGTCCCTGTTCATCCTGGACTCTCTGTCATTTGCAGGATAACTATACCTTTGCACAACCAGGAATCCAGAAGAAGGTCAAGGCACTGGAAGAGCTTGTCAGCCGGATTGATGGTAGGTTCAGAAGTGGGGGTATTCTCTAGCAACAACACACTTCTCTGACACAGGGCCAGGGCCCTCTCCTCAGCCCTTCCTAGCCATGACCATTTCTGGGTTCCTCTACCATTGGCAGCTGCAACACCTTCCAAACCTCCACAGGAAGGTGAGGTAGGAACTCTGCTTTTAGCTTACGTTCTTTTTTCCCCTTAGTTTTCTGTCACCAACTCCTGTCAGTTCTCCTTCAGCATCTCCCCTCAAATTCACTCTTTCTTCTCCATTTCACTAGCCACAGCTCTGGTCCAGACAGGCCCAGAGTTCATGAATTCCTCCGAAAAGGACTTACCTCTTCTAATCTGCCCTCTTCCAAGCCGTCTACCACTCAGCTGCATCTTTCTGAAACGCCATTCTGGTCATGTCTCGCCACTTCCTCTACTGCTATAAAACCTTCCGTGGCTTTCCATTACTTTCAGCATCAAGTCTGTAATCTGCTCTTGCCCTTCATGTGAAGATGTAACTCGGGACTCCTGGGCTTAATGCCAGGTTCTCGAGTCTGGCTGACACCACAGCAGAACTTCCCAGAGCTCCCTGTGATCTGTGTGGGCCAGGGGGAAGGAGACATGGCTCTTCTGAAGCACAGGAGCCTGACAGTAATTCCTTGGTTCTGACTTAGCATCATGGAATGTTAGAACTAAGAGGCGACTTGGGAAACCCTACTGTTGGCTGTTGAAGAAACTGAGGCCCCCCCCAGGGGAAGAAGTCAGAATTTGGTTTCACAAAGAACACACAGAACCTAATGGTGTAGTCTTCTATTAAGTGAATCTCATGCAGCAGCTAAGCTGTAAAACTTTAGGGCTGACTCTACCAGTTCTCACACTAAACTAATAAATCTTACTTCCTGATTCCCTCAGTCATGGGTTTCCTGCTTCACCTAAACATTGCCCACCCCCCCCCCCGACTCCTTACCCCTCTGCAGAAATTGCATATCTTTTTCTCTCCTCTCCCACGTTCTCTTTTCATGAAAACCTTCCCTGATTTGTTCCACCTGCTCTGACTCCCCCTTGTGACTTAGGATTTCAGTCTTCCCAGCTCAGTTGCGTATTTACAGTGGTTCCTATCCATGGCATGCCGGGTGTGTTTCCCTCCATCTTATCACCCTGACCCAGCTGTGAGCCACATAGCGGGGCTCACATGCAGCTCTGATGCTTTGCTCCCCAGATCTTGTCACTGGGCATGCACTGCTGCTAGCAGGGGTGCTGAGCTACCTGACAGAGGCTGGCATCCGTCAGGCTCCAGAGGGCAGAGGTCTCTGCCACCACCTGTCCTATCCTTGTTTTCTGTGCCCTCACAAATACCTAATGGGGTGGAGAGTGGAATTTTAAATGTTTTTTTAATTTGCTTTATTGCTTCTTTGAATTATAGAAATAATACTTATCATTACAAAAATTTAACCAATTCAGAAACACACAAAATAAAAAATCTCCCCCTTCCTTAAATTCTACTCCCTAGAAATAATCATTTTGATGGTTGGTTATTTCAAAAATTGTGTTAAGTGTTTACCACATGCCAGGTGCTATTGTAAACACTTTTATTTTCTCGTTTTATCCTCCCTCCAAATCTTCTGATGATCATTCATACCTCAGAAGTTTTTTATAGATTAGGAAATTGAGAATGACAGTGATTTTTTAAAAAAATCCTACAAAGCGTTATTTGACAGGCTGCCATGTAGAACAGGGATCAGGTTTATTTTGGGTTGTTCTAGAATAACACACACACACACACACACATACACATGGGGTGGGAGTTGGGAGGGAGCTAGTTGCTCTTGAATGTGGCACAGCACTTCCTGGTGAATCACTTACTACACTGGTGGGAGAGGCTGCCCTTGAATGGAGTCAGAAACCTCTTTCATTTGCAGTGTTTAAGTCTCTGCTGGCAGCCATCTGTCAGTGACCAGGGAGAGGATGGCCAAGGTGACCCCCAAGGTTCTTTTTCATTCTGGCTTCTTCTCTGATGAGTAATAAGGTCAAGCAGCCAAGTGAGCCTTATGTCTCGTGTTTTATGGCCATAGCAGCCCTGTGAAAGAGGAAAGACACCTTTTTTTCTGTGCTCAGGGCTGAGTTAGCATTGCTGTGAGATGGGGGAATTAAAGGACTGTCAAGTCAGAGACCAGTTAAGGGATGGAGGGATGAAAAGAAATGGATTCTTGTGACTCCTTCAGAGTCACAGCCCCTAGGTGGTACCCCTGAGGCCAATGTCACCTCCTGTTTCAGAGCAGGTACATAATCACTTCAGGAGGTACGAGGTCGAATACCTACAGTTTGCTTTCCGTTGGATGAACAACCTGCTTATGCGGGAGCTCCCCCTTCGCTGCACCATCCGCCTGTGGGACACATACCAGGTGAGAAGAGATCCCTGAGCTCTGCACCCACACTTTCCCCCAGACACCCAGCTCCTCGCTGTTCAGAAGTTCCCCCACTACCTCTCTACTTCTCTGTCTGCCTTTGCCTTGGGATAAAGTCTGTTTCTCCCAGGAAAGGGGTGCTGTGCACGTCCCCACCTGGGAGAAGGGCTGGAGCTGAGAGGCCGAGAGCCAGCCCCATGTCAGGCCTCGGAGACCTAACAACTGTCTTTTCCCTTCCCAGTCTGAACCAGAAGGGTTCTCCCACTTTCATCTCTACGTGTGTGCAGCTTTCTTGATCAAGTGGAGGAAAGAGATATTGGATGAGGAAGACTTTCAGGTGAGTGTCAGGAGCTCAGCCTGGGCTAGGAATGAGCATCAGAATAGGAGTTACCCACCAGTGGGGCTGCACAGACAGCAGGTACCACAGAAGGTACCTGGCTGGGCAGAAGAGAGGAGAAAGGATGTTCGGTAAAGCTGCCCTGCCCAGATAGATAGCCAGAAAGACTGCGGAGCATCTGGGCAGTCCATGGTGCCCATTCATCCATTCACTGACAAGCAGTTGTGGAATGCCTGCCATGTGGCAGGCATGGGGGAAGGCATAGGATGGGCTGGAAAGTACGATACAGAACTCTATTTTCATAGAGTAAGCTCTTCCCATAGCTTACATGCTCGTCAGAGAGACTTAAACAAAAGTATAGTAAATAAGTAAATTTAAGAGAATAGTAGAAAATGATGAACAATTTTTTTTAATTTAATTAATTTATTTATTTTATTTAGATAATAGCTGGGGTACAGGCCAGAGGCACGGGAGGGTGAGAGGATTCACCAGAGACAGTGGGGAGCAGAACAGGCAGACAGACCAAAAGCACTGCTGAGAGAAGCGGCAGGCATGACAGGAGAGGTCTGCTGTGCCATGTGGTTATCTCCCTGGCCAGCCGGGAATTGAACCTGTGCTGCAGAGGCTGCGGACAGCTTCACAGCGCTGTGTTCAACCTGTTGCGCCACTAGGGAGGCCCCAACAATTTTTTTTGTAAAGTAGGACAGGATTAAGGGATCATTAGTTGGTAAGGAAGGGATAATGTACTTTCAAATAAATTAGTCTATTTAGGCTTACTGAGAAGGTGACATTTGACCAAAGACTTGGGAAAGGGGAGGGAGTAAGCCATGTGACTATCTGGAAGTGTCCAGGCAGCAGGAACAGCCAGTGCAAAGGCCCTGGGGCATGCATGTGCCTGGGCTGTTTAAGGAATCACTAGGGTGGCCAGCATGGCCTGGAGCAGAGAGATGGGAGGAGGGGGCAGCATTGCGGGGGTCAGGGAGGGGGGAGATTGGGAAGCGCTGAGGCTGGAGAAATCACTAGGGACCCAGATCACAGAGGACTTTATAGGTACTGTCAGGACTTTGGCCTTTATTCTGAGTGGAAAGGGAACCATCAAAGGGTCTTGAGCAGAGAAGGGACATGACCTGCCTTATATTTTCAAAGATTTCTCTGATTTCAATGTAGACTTTTAAGTGTGGGCAAGGATGGCAACCGAGAGACCAGCTAGGAGGCTTTTATAGTCCTCCAGGAGAGACATGAGGGTGGCTTGGACCTGGGCAGTGGTGATGGGGGTTTGACAAGTGACCAGAACTTAGATATATTCTGCAGGCAGAACCAACAGGAATTCTTTTTTTTTTTTTTAAGATTTATTTTTATTTATGTATGCATATAAGACCTGGGGTATAGGTTAGAGGTGCGGAGGGTAAGAGGATTAACCAGAGACAGAGTGGGGAGCAGAACAGGCAGATCTACTGAAATACACTGCTGAGGGGAGCAGGCAGGAGAGGTCTGCTGAGCCATGTGGGGTAGCTCCCTGGCTGGGGATCAAACTAATGCCACAGTGGCCGGCAATAGCTTTATGGCACTGAGACTTTAACTCCTGTGCCACCAGGGAGGCCCACCAACAGGAATTCTTGAAGAGTTGGATATAGAGTATGACAGAAAAGGATGTATCAGACTATACTGTTTAGAAGGCTGTTGTAGTAGCAGGTTTCCAGAGAAAGATCAGGAGTTCAGTTTTGGCCTGTCAAAAATTCATTAAAAGATTTATTTATTTATGCATACAAGAACAGGGTTACAGGCCAGAGGTGTGGGGGGAGGGGGGTAAGAGATTCACAAGAGACCAAGTGGGGAGCAGAACAGGCAGATTCACTGAAATACACTGCTGAGGGGGGCAGCAAGTGAGCCAGGAGAGGTCTGCTGCACCATGTGGGTAGCTCCCTGGCTGGGGATTGAACTCATGCTGCAGTGGCTGTGGTTAGCTTCATAGGTTGTCTTAACCCCTTGCACCACCAGGGAGGCCCTGGCCTGTCAAATTTTAAATGCCACTAGACATCCAAATAGAGATGTAGAGTAGGCATTAAATCCTATGTGTCTGGACTGAAAAAAAGAGATCTGGACTGGCCATTTATGGTTAGGAGCCTTTGGCTAGATGGTGCTTAAAGCCAGGTTGCTGGATGAGATCCCTAAGGAAGTGAGTGTAGACAGATGAGGGAAGAGGACCAGGCAGAGCCCTGTAGGAGCCAAGCAAGCTCCTGCAGAAGAGACCAAGAAGAGGTAGGTGGAGCAAAGGCAGCAAGAGGTGGAGCAGGACCAGTGAGTGCAGCAAGGAGCCAGTGTGATAGGACTTGAGGAAGGCTGAAGAAGGGTGTGGGGCGTGAGTTAGGCTGGGTAATGCCAGTCAACTCCTCCAGGAGACCCAGGAAAGGGGAGAGGAAAATAAGGGGTTAGATGGCCAGGCTCAACAGTCTATAGAGAGAAAGGCCTGGAGGTTGTTTGAGGCTGTTAGCAGTGGGTTTTGTTTTCCCCCTTGCTTTGTACATTTCTGAATTGAGAGTGTTTTGGGGTTTTTTAATGAGCACACATTTCTTTGACAAGTCGAGGCGCGGAGGGGTTGTGAGCCAGAAATGGCTGAAAGTTTTTTTTTTTTGAGTTCTGACTAGTAACGTGGTGTTCTCAGAGCAGCAGCATCTCCATGAGATCCCCAGGCAGCACCACTCTGGAATTGGTGTTAGATGGTTAAGTCTGTTCAGCAGACAGATGAAAAGACAGGACCTGACTTGCCCAAGTAAAGGCTTTTGGGGGGGAAAGGAAAGAGTGGCTGGGTTGACTCCCACACATAGATGCTAGCTGTGTGCCAGGCTCCAGCGCTGATGAAAAGCTCAGCTTCAACAAGCAGCATATGTGACACCCCAAGATAAATGAGGAAAAGGAGCTAGAATGGCGGTGTGTTGGGGCAAGCTATCCATTTTGATAATGTGGCTGAGGTGAAGCAGGGTATCGAGAGCATGAAGTCTAATTTAGTTATCATGAGCCAGGCTCAGAGGGCCTTGTCATGTGTGATAAAAGCGCTTCCCAGATTAGCTCAGGGAGGTGAAAGTTTTCCTGGAATGGCTAGAAATTCACAGTATCGACAGAGCACAGGACCGTCATCTATGACTTTAAAACTATGTTAGACGTGGAGATGTTCTTTCCTGGGTAGCACGTTTGATTTTCTGATAGATGAGGGTCTTTCTGCAGTAATCCACAGCGTAACAGTGGGCTTTATATCCGCTGCTGTGTTAACACCTCAATCCTACCATGGAGAGGGGTCTCGCCAGTTTCTTTAGACAAAATAGAATGGACAATTAAACTGGATAATCTGCAAAAGCTCTCACTTCCACTGCCAATTCTATAATTCTGTGAATAATAGAAGAAAAAATGTACCTGACTGTTAGGATGGAGAGGGAGGCCTTTCAGGAGATGGCAGCATGGCGTAGGTAGAAAGAGGGCACTGGAGCCGTAGGAGGCCTCAGGGAAGAAGGCACGTACATCCTGACTGCCAAAGGCCGCTCGTGTTCAAGTCGCTGCAAATGAAGCTCTGTCAGAGAACACAGGCTCCCCAGAGAGTCCAACAAGTCCAGGAGAGAGAAAGGAGAGCTTCAGTGACTCAAAGAGGAACCAGGTGAAGTAGCTGCAGCAATAAAAGTGGGCAGCTTCAGCAGATCAGCCACTTGTCACTCTTAACAGCAGGGAAGAAGTGCCAGCTCTCTGGGGAGCTAGTGGGGGCGATGTTGGGGGAAGCAGCAGCTTCCCTGCCAATACCAGGAACTATACAGAAGAGCAGTGGTTAAGCTACAGCCTCCTGAGTGGACTGGCCGGGGTCAGCCACTTTCCTATGTTACTTACCATAAGTAAGTAACTTGGCTTTCTATGCCTTAGGTTTCTTACTTGCAAGGGCTATTGTGAGAATGAAACAAATGAGCACGTGGAAAGCAGTTGAGATGGCATACCTGGTATAAGTACTCAAAGCAATGAGGACTTACTATTACCAGTAATATTGCTCCCTGCATGTACTCCTAAGTCTGGGAAGCAGTGAAGACAGAGCATTAGGAGCCCAGGTCTCTAATTAGGTGGTTTTTAACTTACCTAAGTCAGACTGTGAGAATCCCAGGTGAGACTGCCCAGCCGGATGAACAAACAAAGCTGGAAAGGAGTGTCAGTGCCAGGGTGAAGGTCTGCTGTGGTGAAAGCCCCAGAAGGAAAAGCACCTGCTTCTACTTGACCTAGCAGCTGTCTGGGGGTCACTGCCTGGGAAAGGGGACCAACACCTGATGACAAGGGCATCACATTGAAAAGGTTCCTTCCTGAGATCTCTGAACAAGGGGACTTGAGGCGCAGCTGTGCACAGGTATTGTCAAGGCAGATGCCCCGTCCTCTGGGGCTTGAGGGCTGCTCGCAAGAGAGCTTCTGGTGGAGCTGGGCCAAGGAGCTTTTGTAGTAAAGGGGCCCTCAGCAATTCTGGCCCCCAGCCTGGGCTGTAGTAATGTGATGATAATATCAGCTTGAATTATATGTAATTACTTTTGTAGGTCAAAGTAGTCAAATATTTGTTCAGTCTAATAATAGCTAATTCTTAGCACTTTTAATGTGCCAGACACTATTGTAAGTGCTTACCTGGGTTAATTTATTTGATCCTTGTGAGTCCCAAAAGGTAGGTTGTGATTACTATCCCTGTCTTTATAATGGGGAAACTGAGTCACAGGACATTAAGTAACTAGGCCCAAGGTCATGAGGGAGTAAGTAGTAGAAACCTGAAATCTGTGGCTTGTGCTCTGCTGCCTCCTGCATTAGGCCCTGGTCAGCACTTCCAAGGCATTTGAGCTACATTCAGCAGGGTGCTGCTCCCTGGCAAGGACCTGCTTCCTTTCCTTCTCACGATGTAAATGTTTTGCACATATTTGATTGTTTGAAATCTGAGTAAGTCATCCCCCAGGGTCCTCCTAATGATTTCCCACCATACTGGCTCCTGGGCTTGT